CAGAGCCTAACAATTCATTTTTGCTTAGGAAGTAATATTTGTGTATTTGGCAAATACCAAGGACCTGGCAGTAGGCGTCAGGGTGCTGGACTCTCCAGTGACCGCACCTAGAAGACCGACAGTTAAGTAGGAAGTCACATAAGGCTGCTGAAAAGTAATGACAGAGGCCTCACAGGACAGGACACATCTGCATACCTTGGTTTAGCTGGGCCACAGAGCAGCGTAAGGCGGCCCCTTCACAGATCCCCCCACCTATGTGTGTGTCCACACCAGAAATGCTTCCCCTGACTGGGTGTGGGGGGGAGGGGTATGACACCAGCAGCTCGCAGGCTTCCGGGGGCAGCTCTGTCCTGTCACTGTTGTATCTCCAGGGCCTAAGCATACACTAGGCCCTTGGTAAGGATCTTCTGAGGAACTGGCTGACTACCAGGGACGGAGGTTGCAGTTATAAGCCATGTTCAAACTTCATCCCACACGCAGAATAGCATGGTTACAACAGGGTGGCAGGTTATGATGTCACATACCCCAAGCACCCCAGAGGAAGTGCATTGGGCAGGGAAGGGTCAAGCTGATGAAGGGGGTGGCGCATGACTCTGGACAGGAAGCTAGGCCTGAGCACTGTTGACCCAGAGGTGTTGAGGAAGCAGAATCAGGCCTTAGTGAGTGGATGTGGCAGAGGGAGGGACAGAAGAGTGAGGGGGACTCAGGGTCTGTGGAGGTGGTTCATTGGTAAAGTGTTTGCTGTACAAGCACAGGGACCCAAGTTGGATCCCCAGAACCCATGTTTAAAAAGCTGGGCGTGGTGGCACACTTGTAATCCCAGAGCTGGAAAGGAAGCGACAAGTAGATCCTTAGGGGTTGCTGACCAACCAGCCTAGTGAGAGACTTCATGTAAAAGAAATAAACGGGCTGGAGAGATGGCTCAGCAGTTAAGAACACAGGCTGCTCTTGCAGAGGACCCAGGTTGGATTTTCCAGCACCCACATGGTGGTTAACTACGGTCCATAACTCCATTCCAGGGGAATCAGATGCCCTCTTCTGACCTCTGAGGGCACTGCATGACATGGGTGCACTTATACATATGCAAAGAATACACTCACACACATAAAATAAAAATAATAAGATATTTTAAAAATACGTTCTGAAATGAAAACCTATAAAAGGGCCCGTGTCATTTTTAGCTGAAGAGACTAGAGGGCACGTGAACAGGCACGGGGGTGATTGTACCAGTGACTTTATTCTTTGCTTTGGCAAAGATGTTTAGTAACACAACTTAAGCAAAGGAAGTTTTATTCTGGCTCATGGTTTGGGAGGATACAGCTTATCGTGGAGGGAAGGCATGAGGCAGCTGGTCACGTTACATCTGCAGTCAGGAAGCAGGAGTGTGCCGGTGATGCTCCGCTCAATTTCTCTTTTTAAAAATTATTATTATTGCCAGGTGTGGTGGCACACGCCTTTAATCCCAGCACTCGGGAGGCAGAGGCAGGCAGATGTCTGTGAGTTCGAGGCCAGCCTGGTCTACATAGCGAATCCAGGCCAGCTGTGGCTACAGGGAGACCCAGTGTCAAAAATAAAAAACCACCCCCAAATTATTATTGTATGTGTGTGCATGTAGGCCATAGCATGTGTGTGTGGTGGTCAGATGCCAGTCCTTTGGAGTCAGTTCTCTCCTACCTTTACATGGCTCTGGGGCTTGAACTCGGATTATTAGACCTGTGTGGCAAGCGGTTTCCCCTGTCCAGCCATCTCGTTCCATGTTCTCGGCCAGCCTTTAGGATTGTGTTGCCAGCGTTCAGGGAGGGTCCCTCTTCAGCAAAACCTCTCTGAAATGCCTCACAGACAGGGCCAGCTGTGTGTCTCCCAGGAGACTTTAAGTGGAGTCAAGTTGACGATGAAATTACCTTCTCGCAGGAATGCCATGTTGATGAGTTTCCTAGTTTCATGCACTTAATTTTGCAGGATTTGTGACTATCAATCTATGATGGCCTTGCAAGGCCTTGTTTGGTAAAGGGAGGCTCTTCTGAAGGGAAATGGAACCACTGTCAGGTGAGCAGCAGAGAACATTGCCTGCATGCACCCTAAAGCCAAGCGAGTTACAGCAGCATCAGCTTGAATAAAGTTCACGCTGGCTTTATCTGCGTTTTACAAAAGCAGTCTGTCCCATGCTCGGTCTCTGCTTACATGATTTTGACTACTCTGTTCTTTATGGATGGAAGATGCTTCGGGGGAGACTCTGAGTCCAAGCCTTTGACTACTCTCTTTTCAAATCCTTACAATACCCTGTGCTTTCACTGTGGTTGTGTGGGGTGTGTTGAGGATTTCTGTGTGAAATGTTGTCTCCCAAAGCAGTCTTAGCACACAGAACCTACAAGAACAGCAGATCACAAATCTTAGTGAATTTCTGTTTGCGATGAGTGGTGCAGGGGAGGCGGCAAGATGGCTCAGTGGTTAAGGGCACTTGTGCCAAGCCTTACGATCTGAGTTCCATCCCCTGTCCCACATGGTGGAAGGAGAGAAGTCACTCTGGATAATTGTCCTCCCACACCCACCCACAAACAAATGTTTGAAAAGGGTTTTTTCCAACTGCCATTTCTCACCAAATATTTTGTCTGTAAATATTCTGATATTTCTATCTAGTTCCTTTCTCTCTCTCCCTCCCCCACCCCTCTCTCAGTTGTTGAACTTTGGAGTTAAAAACCCCAAGGTATCTTTCTGGGCTATACAGTGGACCCCCTTACCCATGATTCCATGTCTCCTCAGTTGCCATAGAACGTATATCATGATGATGTGCATTGAAAAGTAACTCAGAATGTGGTGTGGTACATGTGATGCTAGGGATAGAAGCCAGGGCCTGACACATGCTACTAAGAGTTCTGCCCCTGTGCCATGCCCCATCTGCCCTGTGCTGCACCCCCAATCCTTCCATGTAAAACTTCTTACTGCAAATCGCTCTTCTTTCTCACACTTTTGAATGTTTCAACAATGACAGTGTACTTAGACATCCGAATGTGACTACCACGCTGCGTCTACCTCGTTACATGGCGTAAAGCACAAATGAATGGCTGATGAAAGGCTCCTGACCTGGGAAAGCCTGTGTGATGATTTCCTCGTGACGGGGGTTTACGGACTCCAGGTCCCAGTTCCTTAAAGAGAGGAGCAAGTGCACACATCACAGTTACCTCTGCAGTGTGCAAAAACCTATCAAGCATGCCACGGGCAAAACTCATCTGTGAGGCAGCATCTGAAGCAGGGAATGGAAACCCATCAAATACTCTTCTATGGCAAAAATTTGAATTTCTAATTCTCTAGTCCTTACATGTTTATTATGGAAACCATGTTGAATGCCCCTAAGTGGCAAGAAAGAACCATTTCCTGTTGCATAAACTTTTAGAGTTAAAATAGCAAAAATTTAAAACCCTATACTTTGTTCTGTGGATTGTGTTATATTGTCCCCTTTTGGGTTACGTAATTCTGCCTTGGCCTTTCAAAAACAGAAACATTTCACCCTTGACAGAGCTTGGAATTTGGAACTGCCTGTGAAAACACGAATAACTTCATTTTTTCCATATGAAAAGTCCCCAGACACAAATTGATAAATTCCTCAAGAACCTCCCTGCAGTTAGCAGGCTAGCATTTCAACTGCCAAGACCTAGCCTCAAAGTGTTCGCATGGCCAGAAAAAAACACGACTGTTGGTCTATAGCTCAGGGAATCTGTGCTCCACCACCTAGGCTGGAGAGATCGCAGAAGTGGGCTGAAGGGTTCGTGCGTGCCTTTTGTTTAGTCATTCGCTTGTTAAGTGAGTGTGCACGTGTATGTGTATGAGTGTATGTCTGTGTGCGCGTGTATGTATGAGTGTATGTCTGTGTGTGCACATATATGTGTATGAGTGTATGTGTGTGCACATGTGTATGGGTGCATGTCTGTGTACACATGTATGTGTACAGGTGCGTGTCTCTGTGCACATGCATGTGTACGGGTGCGTGTCCCTGTGCATGTGTATGTGTATAAGTGTATGTGTGTGCACGTATATGTGTATGAGTGTATGTCTGTGTGTGTGCACGTGTATGTGTACGAGTGTATGTCTGTGTGCAGATGTATGTGTATGGGTGCATGTCTGTGTGCACATGTATGTGTACGGGTTTGTGTCTGTGTGCACATGTATGTGTATGGGTGCATGTCTGTGTGCACGAGGAGCTCAGAGGACAGCCTTGGGTGTCATTCTCCATCCACCTTACTTTTTTAAAAAATACGTTATTTATTATTGTATTTCATGTGTATGTGTGTATTGCCTGCATGTAGGTAAGTGCACCCCTGTTGTGTAATGCCCAGGGAAGACAGAAGAGGTTTTCTGCAGGGACATGGCATCCTGACCTCCGCCTCCCCCTTGTAAGAGCTTGGGTATCTGTGATATTTCCTGGAATTGTTTATCACAAGGACTTCCTCCTGATTCTGAGAAAAGTACACCCTGACCCAAAACTAGCCTTACAGTCAGGTGATCCCAATTATCATGTGTTCTGACTCCACCTCCTTTACTGAAAAGGTATTTAAACCCTTGTCTCAAACAATAAAGAGAAGTAGAGTCCTTCCTCCCACTCCATGATGGTGTGATAGTTTGTTCAATCCTGATGCCCTCTGCCCAGAATACTCGGAGCTTGATGTGCTGGTGCGGCATGTGGAGGTCCCACCGAGATCTGAGGAAAGGAGGTAAGCGGACAGGGTCGTCCTTGGCCGGTGAGGACGTATTGGGGATAATACATAAGAATATCTGTAAACATGGGAAACGTACAAAGTAAACATGAACTGTATCTATAGAAAGGAAGGAAGGAAGGAAGGAAGAAAGGAAAGAAAGAGAATGTGACCATACATAAGAATATCTGTAAACATGGGAAATGTACAAAGTAAGCATGAACTGTATCATCAGATTAAAAGAGTCTTGGAGGAACAAGGAACAGCTGTTAAAAGCAAAACTATTGAACAGTAACATGATTGCAAGAATCTTAGGATAAATGTTGCTTTGTTTTTCCCTGATTTCCCTGTTATCCCATACCTTAGGTAAAGCAAGGTCAAATTTGAATTGGTTTTCTATGGACTTCTGTTCCTACAATACTTGAAAATCTTTAAGAAAAAGGTGAAAATTCTAGTATTATTTTTTCCTGCGAGGTGGTTACTTTTTCTAGGACTAATTTTGAAGCAGTTCAGTAGATAAAGAAGGATGCATACACTGACTAGAAAATTATGTTTGCAGTTAATTTAATTTCAAAAGATTACTTCAATACCCATATTACTTGCCAAGCAGTATAATTTGTAGGGAACATAATTAAGATTACAGAATTATTAATTTGGTTAAAATTCACCATTTCATAAGGATAGGCAATAATGTTTAAAAATCACATAAAAGTCTTTATGGTGTTTTGACTAAATTGTGCTTGATTTGTAGTCTAAACCTTCTTAGTGATTATCTGGTGTCCCGCATGAAAAACTGTATCTTTGAAATTATAAACCTAAATTCATTAAGGTGTATCCACAATACTTAACACCCAGTGATTGGCAACAGTTGTGTAGAGCAGTATTGTCAGGAGGTGATTATCTTTTATTGGAAACCCACTACACCACTGTTAGCGCGGGTGAGGGGAGCTGTTTATGTTTTTCCCCCAGGTGCTGATAAACCTATCTGTATTCCTGAAAGCAACAAAATAACAAAGGTGATGATCCTCATCCTTCTGACACAGACATGGAGCATACAGGGTAATGTCGCTGCTGGCATCGCCTGTCTCAGACTGCGGTTGCAGCTTCCACGGTTGATACCTTGTCAGGAAAGGTCAGTGAAGTCCTGCAAACTCAGAACTCCGTCAATGCACACATACAATTTGGACTAATGAACTTAAATCAACAAACTGCCTTGTTACAAGAACAAGTTGATGCCCTTTGGGCTATGCGACAGCTAACATGTTCTCATTTCTTTCATCATATTTGTGTTACCCATTACCATGTACAAAATGCCTCCAATACTGTAAAACAATTGAATGCCTTTCTTAAGGGACCATGGAATGTGACCTTTGCAAATTTTACTAAGGTTCTTACTTGGCAAATTGTATCTGTTAATGAAATCAGGGTCCCTGCCGTATCAGCAGAAGGATGATAGAATACCATGGTAGGAATTGGAGGATGGATACAGAGGTGGGCAAGCTCCTTATCACTGACTGTCAATTTCATACTCATTATGATCTTTGTGTTTTTGGGTCTTGTGTAGAAAGCTCAGAGGAATTCAGTCCCAACAAACTGTTACCCAACAAGTCCTTTTAAGTTTTCACACAACCATACAGATGTCCCACAGGTGTGGCCTCAGATGCTACACAAAAGATGAAGGTATTCTCAGTGACGGGCAACTTTCTGTGAGAGGGCTCCCGCCTAAGACAGGGAAGAGGTCTCCCAGTGACGGGTAAGGGTGACCCCTCCGGAACGACCTAAGACAGAGTTACCTTCCCCCCCCCAAAAAAAGGGGGTGAGATGCAGGGACATGGCATCCTGACCTCCGCCTCCCCCTTATAAGAGCTTGGGTATCTGTGGTATTTCCTGGAATTGTTTATCACAAGGACTTCCTCCTGATTCTGAGAAAAGTACACCCTGGCCCAAAACTAGCCTTACAGTCAGGTGATCAGGGGAATGCCCAATTATCATGTGTCCTGACTCCACCTCCTTTACTGAAAAAGTATTTAAACCCTTGTCTCAAGCAATAAAGAGAGTCCTTCCTCCCACTCCATGATGGTGTGATTGTTTGTTCAATCCTGACGCCCTCTGCCCAGAATACTCAGAGCTTGACGTGCTGGCGCGGCAGTTTTCAGATCCCCTGGAACTGGAGTTATGGACAGTTGTTAGCTGCCATGTGGGTGCTGGGATTTGGACCTGGGTCTTTTGCAAGAACACCAGTGTTCTTAACGGCTGAGCCATCTCTCCAGCCCCTCCACCTTACTTTTGAGACAAGGTCTCTCACTGGCCTGGAAATCACCAAATAGCCTCATCAGGTGGCCAGTGAGCCTCAGGGATCCACCCATCTCTGCCGTCCAGCGCTGGAATTACAAACATGTGCCACCATGCTCGGCTGTTTGACATAGGTTCTGGATGAGCTCCTGTCCTCATCCTCGAGCTTGCAAGGCCAGTACTTTACTGACTGTACCATCTTCCCCCTGGGCACATAGCGTAGAGGAATGACATTCTGTGCAGATAAAACAATATGAACTCCTAATTCAGACACTGAATTAAGACACTGATTCAGAATGCCAGCCATTTTAAATAACTGGCCATTTTGAAAGCTTTCTGCCTCCCTCCCCAAAACAGACTGACAGCACACGCCAGCCAGAGATTTCCCCCGACCTCAGTTCTCCTCCAGACAGACGCTTTTGCATCTGAGTTTAGCTGTTTCGTAAGAGTCTGGTGGTCTACAAGTGGTTATGTGGGGTCATTTCATGGAGGCGGCGATGGAAAGGGTGTCGGGGTCAGCGGCTGTGACAGAAGCAGAGTGCCAGTTCCGTAAAGCCAATTCCTGGCACAGCCCGAGCTTGCACAGTGTGAGTGCTGTGCTCGGCTGTACTGGTTACACTTTCATTTCTAACCTGATAATGTGCTAGTGTACGGTGGCTCATGCCTTAACTGGGCATTAGTGATGATGTGAGATACAGAAAGCTGCATAAAAAAGGAATGCATTTCTGTACATATGAAAAATATCTTTGGATTTTCTTGGCCTTTCTTAGTAAATCATGTTCGTATGTCTGAGACCCTCATGGCCTGGGTCAGACTTTGTCAGGCTGGCTGCTGAAGAGATAAACTTTGGGCTGTGTGTACTTTCCTGTGCACAAAATCTAACTCCCGGTTCTTCCAGCCACTGGTACAAACCTCTTGTGTTTTAGTGGGAAACCCTGCCCTGGATTTTCTGGAATGTGTGTGTGTGTGCACATGTGTGTGCGTGTGTGTGTGGGACAGAGGATAACCTCAGATGTCATTCCTCAGGCACTGAGACAGGGTCTCTTATTGGCCTGGAACTTAACCAAACAGGGTAGGCTGGCTGGCCAGTGAGCCCCAGGGATCCTCTGATTACAAGTGTGCACCACCGTAATCTGCTTTTCTTTCCTGGGTGCTGGGGACGGACGTTAGGTCCTCACACTTGCACTGGAGGCACTTTGCCAGCTCAGCCATCTCCCTCGCCCGGGAATATTCTTGGGAAAACACCCAGTTCATCACTCATATTCTTATTCAGTCAACACGAACTGTGTCTTCCTTATGTCAGCCTTTCAAATGCGGCGTGTTGATTAATCCTCTGAACAAGTTCTGGTTTTCATGTGAGAAGTAAATCCTGGAAGTTCAAGTAACATATCCAAGGTCACACCATGAATAAATCCCATGTGCAGTTGTGAATTCCTGTTCTCGGGAACTCTCCAGCCAGATCCAGGGAATGTTTTGAGACACCCTCCACCAACATTGTCACTATCAAGGATACTGAACGCGGTGGGAGCCATGTGCCTCTGAGCCAGTGGGACCAGTAACAAGACAGAGCTCAGCTCCCTTAGGGCCTGCTGTGTGCCTTTCTCTGAGGTATGGTGGGTGCTGATGATGTAAAACCTTATACCACCACTGGCTTGGCATGGTGGCACACACCTTTAATCCCAGCACTCAGGAGGCAAAGGCAGGCAGATCTCTGAGTTTGAGGCCAGCCTGGTCTACATAGAGAGTTCCAGACCAGCTGGTGGTTACAGGGAGACCCTGTCTCAAAAACAAACAAAAACTCCCCCAAAACTCTATACCACCAATGCACCCAAATGCCCCTTCCATTTCAGAAAACAAAAGCACCTTTCAATCAGTATTGACGGTGCCTGATATCAAAGGTCTGTCATTCTCTAGATCTCAGGAGAATTATAAGGTATACCTAAGCACATAAACATCCTGAGTTAGATTTTATGACCTTCCTCCTGGCTTTTGCAACCAGCTACTTTATTGAACATAATGAATGGCTTCTCTTAGGACCTGTTTTCGTCTAGATGCGAGTATCTTTGAGACCTCACTTTGGCATTTGCAGCTGTTATTTTAATTGGATTTATGTCACTGTGAATCAGACCTCAGGGTAGCCTAGTGGAAATCATAAAACTGCTTAGGTAGAAAGAGACCTTAGAGACCATCCAGTCCTGAAGTCTTAAATCAGCAGCTCCCAACTGAAGCTGGCCCATACGTGTTGCATTGGTTCTCCAGGGGAAGATGCAAGTTGAGTTCTTAAAACTTTTTGAATTAGTTGTTAAAATAATTTTTTAAATTTATTTTTTGTCTTTTTTTTTGAGACAGGGTCTCCCTGTACCCCCAGCTGTCCTGGAACTCACTATGTAGACCAGGCTGGCTTCGAACTCACACAGATCCGCTTGCCTCTGCCTTCCAAGTGCTAGGAGTGAAGGTGTGTGCCACCACACCTGGCCCAAAAGAAGTTTTTTAAAGACAGGGTCTCCCTGTAGCCCCAGCTGGCCTGGAACTCGGTATGTAGACCAGGCTGGGCTCCATCTCACGGAGATCTGCCTGCCTTTGCCTCCTGAGTTCTGGAATTAAAGGCGTCCACCATCATGCCTGGTGGTTGCCAACTTTTTTTAAAGGGAGTATATTTCAAAAGGAAGATTGACATGTTGGGCTTCTCTTAAAAATTTGGAGTACAGCCTGGGGTTGTCGCTCAGTGGGTTTAGAATGCTTGCCTAGCATGTATATCGTGAAGCCGTGTGTTCAATCTCAACACTGCATAAAGCTGGGCATGGTGGTGCACATCTGAAATCTCAGCACTGGGGAGAGAGGTGGGATCAGGAGTTCAGGGTCATCCTTGGCTACATGGCAAGTTCCAGGCCAGCATGAGCTTCCGTCTAAAAAACAAATAAATAACGATAATAAAATGAAGTGTTTGATGGTGAACATTTAAAAACTTGGAGTACAAGGCAGCACTGGGCCTGTTTCCCTGCCTTTGATCTCTGACTTCCTGCATTCGGCATGGCCACCAGCCCCATGGAGTGGCAGGTGTTTCCTGCAGATAGCACCAAGGACTGCAGGGGGCCGCCATCCTGGCCTGCCTTCAGCGACAGCGTTACGGTCAGTGGTCTGCTGACAATGAACGTGTAGCCTGTGAGCCAGGTGTGGTGGCACACGCCTTGAATTCCTGTACTTGGGAGACAGGCAGGTGGATCTCTGTGAGGGCGAGGCCAGGCTGGTCTCCATAGTGAGTTTCAGGTTCAGCTGTGGTACAGGAAGACCCTGTCTAGAAAGTGCAGCCTGTGCCCTTTGTGTTGATACACAAGTTAGGATTCCTAACTTCAAGTCCGTTTCTGTTATTTGCTTGGCCTTCTGTTCACTTGTGAGCTATGATTTGGTTTGATTTTGACAATCTGAACATGGAGATCAAAGGAAGTTCATTGGCTCCCCAGGGTTTGTAATTGTAGGTCAGGATAAGAATAAGATTTTTCTTGCTTCTTATTGTGTCATTGGGCATGCAGATAGTCTGGGCAGGATGAATTTGTGGGCGGAAATATATTTTAAAAATCACCTTAATGTTATGAAATGGTTTAAGAAAAAGAAGAAAAACTAAGGTATGATATTTAATAAATCTGTATAAATTCAAAATGTGTACAAATATCAGAAGACACAACATTTTTCTAAATTCTCCTACATTTTTTGCTTTTAGGAGATTTTTCCTTATAGGTGTCCATGGTGTATGTGTGTCTGCCTGTTAATGTGTATGGCTGCATGTCTGCAGATGCACATACACACGTGTGCCTGGTGTGAAGGCCTGAAGTTGGTGTGGAG